TTAAAACATTAGATATTTAACACAATCGTGAATGCTTTGTGCTAAAAATTATCTAAAATCAATGTAATTAATTTTTATTTTAAAATTTATTTAATCATTTGTTGGATATGAGGATCGTCTGGTGAATTATAACTGAATTTGTGATAAAGTGTTGTATCAAAAATAACCAATAATTGTTAGTGACAATTTTCAAATGTCGTCAAATATTTTTTCTGAGGTTCTTTGGAATGGGATTTTAGGCGATGAAGAAGAGAGGGAACCAGAAATTTCCAATATTATAAACGGTAAATAATTTTTTTGTAAATGTCGTCTTCTGTTTATTTTTAGGCAAAGAAATAATATTGCATAAATTAATGTATTAATCTTACTCTTCAATTGATTTATGGGGATTATGTTTCAAAAATATCCACCATTAAAGAAAAAAATATCACAGAAAGTTTCGTTAAAAATTCGAATTAAAGGGTGACCTTTTTCTTATTAAATACTTTAAATAACTATTTAATCCATTACAAAAGACGACAATATGAAAAGTCAACAGGGTAAATATATACTGGATTTATGGAGAAGACGACCGACATTAGTTACTATCCTTGTCTACCCGAGAAAATGCGTCGAATTTGCTGATGTGCTATCTTTAATTAGAAAAGTCTTTGCGTTTTATATTACAAAATAGAATAAATTAAACATTTTCATCTATTGAATCATAGGACTTATAAAAATAAATGACGAAATAATACGTTTGATTTTTTTTAATCTTTTGAGTGTTAAACAGCATTTGAGAGTAAAAAGTTTCAAGACCACCTGCTAGTTACACTTTTTCGTACAACAAACGACGTATTATAGTATAGTATAGTATAGTATAGTATAGTATAGTATAGTATAGTATAGTATAGTATAGTATAGTATAGTATAAGTATAGTATAGTATAGTATAGTATAGTATAGTATAGTATAGTATAGTATAGTATAGTATAGTATAGTAAGTGAAGGAATAATTGACATCTTCGGGAATGGGAGCGCATATAAATCGAAGGGGTATGACTGGGAGGATGAAAAAATGAAAAAAACTTACTTCTTAAATCCGTTCTCTTTAGAGGTGTATTCAAGGAGTGGGGGCTATGGGTGACTAGCCCCCACCTGGATCAGGGAAATCTATGATTTCTAGGATTTTTTGGCCCCCGACAGGTAGCTAAGCCCCCCTGGAAAGAAAAAAAATTCAAGTCACGCACTTAAACTCCCCTTCTAGGCGTTTGGGCTTGTGGTGAAAGTTCAAGGGGGGCAGGTGGGCCTTGAGAGGTTGGTTTGGGAAGGGGAACCTGGGGAGAGGCAAAGGGAACTTACGAATCGGGAATTACATGCAAATAGGGGATGTAGTGTTTCAAGATATACCCAGAGAAAAGCATAAATATGAATTTGTTCTATTTTGACCTATATCTCGGAAAGTTTATTTTCACATTGATTCTACGTGTAGATCTGGCCGTTCTTAGAGTCTCATTTTTTTGACTGAAGGAATAAACATTTATTAAATACCAAATTTTTTTACATTTGTTTTTGGTAAATTTTGCATCTAACTGCCGTAGGTCGAAAACGACTAATATGGTATAGGTCGTTTTCGACTTCTATTTCGGCTGATCCGGGAAGGTCAAAAACGACCTGTAAGATTTTGACAAAAAAGCTAAAAGTATTCAATTGAACCAAATCTCTTCATGGTCAAAATATTTATAAAAAATTCTTATAATTCTTATTTCTTTTGAACAAGTTTTTTAAAATATATAAAAAGAAAAAGTTTGAGGTGGATTGAATATTTTTTTCAGAAATTTTATGTTTTCCATGACAGGCCCTGATTTATTGACCTTATCAACCGAATAATATCTGTTAAAGCAAACATGTTAGGCCAAAGGGAATAGAAAGGCCTACGACGGAAGAAAATGTTACTAAAAAGCTCGAATTTCTTTTATTGTCAATTGTAATATATTTTTTTAATAAACATGTTCAAGGCTGCAAAAAAGTATGAGCAAGTTATTGTTGTAAAACCATAAGTTAACGCTTATCGCTACACTTCAAACTGAATAATTTGCTACAGTTTTACCAATAATATTTATTTAATAATATCATTCAGAAATCATATATATATATGTATAATACAGATTTTTATATATATTGTTGACGTCTAGAGCAGTTTCTGGGGTTAAAGTCATATATTTATATATATAATGCCATTTTAACTTAACTTTAATTCCAAATAATGTATAATGTAAGACATTACATTGATATTTATTATTTCAGGTTTCCAATATTTTTGATTAGTTAAGAATATCCGGAAGATATCAATGTTTTGTATCTTATAGATAGATTTACATACACTCTGTTCAGTTAAAAATCCTTTTTTTTTAACTTGAACCTGCAGTGTGCTATTATAAATGTACATGTACAGCAATATCTATCTGTAGATCTCAAAATTGTTTTTTTTAAATTGAATATTCAAATTCTTTTAGCTTAAATTTCTATTTGTTTGATTTTACTTAAATGAAAACTGAAAATGAATTGCAATTAATACTTTAAAATCACATTACTGTTCACATAATACATACATATGATAATAGTACATTAAACAATGTAAAATGTACAAAGGGGAAGGGGGAGGGGTACCATTCTTTAGAAAATACTGAGCTAAACAACTCACTTTTCTCAAAATTATTCTTTTCAAAAAGCTTAAACTTCAAAATTTTCCGGAATGAGTTCTCTGAAAATTTAAAAAATTTGATTCCGCTGGAGATGCCGCTTTATACACTTTAAGGATTTATGTAAAAAATATATTTATATAAATTTCAAATTTGATTGTTAAAGAAATGATTTAAAACCAGGTCTTATGAATTTTAAAATCATTAAAATTTGATGAAAAAAAAAAGATTTTAAAAACTATTCATACAAACTAATTTCAGTTTTGATAATGGATATTCATCTTTTGGATTATATACAAAAACATCCATTATAAAAACTTTCAAAGATTTAAAAACCAAGAAAAAACGCTTTGAGATATAATACTATAGGATTTGAGCTTGAATACATATAAAAAACGTAATAAAAGACTTGTTTCCTTAACCCTACGAAACTTTGGGGAAGGGTTGTCTGTGACACAAAAATATATCATTATTATGAGGCCCAACACAGTGAATTTACTAATTCCGTATTTTGATATTTCCAAAAAAAATGGTTGTCACTTGTAACCTCCCCCCTCCCCAATTTGCTAGGGTTAAAAATCCAAAATGATCTGAGCAAACGTGAGAGCACCCTGGGGAATAAGAGCTGCAAAACCCCCTCCTTTCAATTCCAATTGAACCTTCCCTTTTCTAACTCCAAACAAGCAAAACAAACATATAATAAACTTGATGGCCTCCCAAAAATATGAGGAAAAAAATAAACTAAACTAACTGAGATCTAACTGAAGGCTGTCAATTCTAACAGTAGGGCGTCTAACATTTTACCTAAACCAAAAAATGTAAAATTAATAAATAAATAAATAAACTAAAAGATGTAATCAAAACTAGTTTTCAACTGAAAAGAACAAAAATAAGTGTATATATTTATGTATATATGTTAGTATACCAGCATGCCCATAATGATTAAATTTGGCACTCTTTCTTTTACGTTTTTGGCAACAAACAATTGACGTAGATAACCCGACATTGTTATTTAAACCTTCACAAAATGTACATTTTAATTAAACATAGAAAAAGAGGAAAAATTTTAAAATGTTTCCTTACGATTAGATTAGCTTAAAACTATGATATAACACACTAGACTAAATTTGATTAAGATCAATTTTCATGCACCATATGGAAGAGTAAGCTTGGTTAAAATTAGCGTTATAGCTTTCTAAAACGACTAGTTAGTTTTATATAACAACTAGTTAGTTTTGTTTAACGACTAGTTAATTTATATAACGACTACAATGTTTATTGTTCTAATATTAGTAACTTCATCTCACTCCAGTCGCGTTAGTCCATTGTTTAGTTTTCTAACTTTGTCGTGATTAAAACCAAAATTAGGTGTTTTAGAGCGTTTGTCAGTGCTGCCACCTAGTTTTCAATTATTGAACTATTTTCGCTTACAGGCGGAGTGAAGGGTTTCCCGGCTCTGACTCTGACTGGGCCCGTCACGTGGTTTCCAGACAGGGGACCCTAAACAGAAATTAAAACTAATAAAACTAAATTTTATTTTTAAATAATTTTGTCTTGAAATTTTTTTAACATGAACATGCACTTTAAGTATGTAGAGGTGGGGGGTGAAAGGGTAGAAAATCATGAAATACATAAACAGTTTTAAATCCATTTGCAAAAATTATATTATAATTTAAAACCGAAATCGCCTCCCCCCAGGTAAGGTTTTAAAAATCTAAATTTTGCCCAGAAATGCCGAGCATGAATTTAAAATAGCTCAATTAGTTTGGTTTGCACTATACAGTATACAGTATACAGGGAGAATCAACAAACACGAGACGACAGCTGCGTGAAATCATGCTTAATAATTCCCTCCCATTGCTTCTGCAGGAAAAAGTAATTTTTGTTAAGAATCCACACAGTTGAAAATAATATATTTTTTTACTGAGGGATTAGACGACAAAACGTTTTTGGACGACAAAGGCGTTTCTCAAGACGAAAAAAAAACATTCGTTTGGACGATAAAGGGGAGACTGTTGTAAACAAACAAGTAAAACCGCATTGGAAACCTATTGTAAACAGAAAATAGTCTTTGTGACTTTTACAAAAGAAGACCAAATTGGGGATCCAAAGATTGGAAAAAAGAGATTCAAATGCATCGAACACTTGAATAAAGTTGTTAAAATTGTAAATTCAGATTAATATTTGAAAGAAATATTTAAAAATTTTCCGTGGTAATTATCTTAAAAATAAAACATATCTTAACTTCAAAATTGGTTTTAATTCGGGAGGGTTAGAGGATTTTTTTTCTAATAAACAAACGCCATGTAGATTGTAGATGTTAAAATAAATAAACTAAAAGTTAAGAACTGGGATAATTTAAAAGTTTGATTGTTACAATAAGAAAATACAGGTATTAAGAGTGCAGTATTTTGTACACAAAATACTTGATTTTGTTTGTTGTTTGGCGGATTTCTAGTCGACAGCTGATACCAAACTCTAACAGGGCTGAACATGAGATGAAATACAAATATTTGTGCGTAGAATTTACTTAAGTGTATTGATATAGGGAAAATTGGGTGTACGCTGTACATGCAGTACTTTAGAAATAAATACGGAACCATGCGAAAAATAAAAATAAACATTAGTGTTTCTTGAATTTCAAATATTAAAAAATTGTATTTGAAATTCATTTATCATGCAGTATAAGGGCTCTCCAAAATTCATAAGACAACATCAAGTTTTTAAAGAAATATTTCAATGTAGCACAAAGATGTATCATGAAATTGTGTAAATATATAGAATATATATGTAAACGCTAGATAGTACTCTACGACATCGTAAATGTTTAAATAAATTCATTTGTTGAAACAGTAATATCATCGGGATTAGGTTCCCGATACACTATAATTTCATCCCCACTGTCAAGCAGTTCTATTCCCAGTCCCAAGCTATTCGGGATACTTTCCCGAGACTCAGAAACTCCCAGGCTCGGGATTGATACTCCGGACCCAGTGGGAGCAGGGACAAACGGGATCATATCCTTAGAACTGTTTGGGATATAATCCTGGGAATCAGGACCGGAGCTGCTTTGAATACTGTCCCGAGACTCTAGTCCCGAGCTGTTCGGGAAATTATCTCGGGACTCTGGATTGAAGTTAGTCGGCAATAATTCCCTTGTCCCAATCCCAGAGTCCCGACTCTCTGAGTTCCGTATCCCGGCAGACAAACAGGATTGTATCATATCCTGTCCTATCCCGCTATCTCCGTCCCGAGGTATTGGAACCATGGGTTGAAGAGGATCCGGAGGGTTTGGATCCCGAGGAGTTCCAACGGAGCTGCTCCCTTCAGTAGACGGCTCCACGGAGTCTATGCTCCCATCAGAGTGTCCAGATAGATAGCATTGCATACAGGTTGATCGCTTACCTAGATCGGAGGTTGGTGGCGGAAGAGCTTCCGTCACGGCGGAGGATGTTCTCGGAGGCGGAACCGGAGGTTGGGTTTCTCTAAGTGATGATTGTATCAACCTAGCCTGGCTGGTGGTAGAACAGGATGAGAGGGTTGAGGAGGATCCGAGCTGGGCTGCTCCGCCCACTCCGCCCACTCCGCCCCGCCTCTCATCCTCCCAAGAAAGGGTTCCTGTCCGCCGCGGCGGATCCTCTTCGCCTTCACTTCGTACACCAGAACTACACTCGTCTCGCACACTGTCAGATTCACTATGTCCGGCCAGATCAGCTAGTTCATCTACAATAGAAATGTAAATGTAGACCATGTCAGTTTGGAAATGTGCAATTATTAAACCAGAAAAATCTGCGACATTTTGAGTTTTATAATGTACTAAAAAATTCTGTTTTGGAAAGCAACATGAGCAAAATAACTGCTAGAAAAGGGCCGCAAAGTGCCTTAAACTTCCAATCCATACTACAGTGAGAACCAGAAAACTTTTTAATAGGAAGAGACCATTTTTACGCAATTTTAAGCAAACTTTAATTCTTTTTTAAAAAACTATGTTTTTAAATTTTTTTTGGGAAAATGCAATATTGTTTTTTCGGACATTTTAGATATTACACAAATAATTTGAATTTAGAGTTTTAGGCGATTACACAAATTGAGCGCATATTTACGCAATTTGTATGCCTGCAAAAAAATCAATCATATCTCCACAAATTCAAGATATTTTTACTTAGAGCTGGGTTAAAAAATATTTCCTTTAGAAAAATTAAATATTTACACTAATTTGCGGTGTAATTGCATCATTGGAGCCAAGACAATATGCGTTTACGCTGCTTACGCAATTTGGATAGCTGGGCACTATATGTAAAAAGAAAAGTATTAAGACTTTACTATCTCTGAATAGATAAACTGTAGGTTAAAACAGAACATATTAATAATATGAAAGCTGACTAAAAAAGAATAATTAACAAAATTATGTTACCTAAACCATCTCCAAGATTTCTATCTTTCCTTGTAACTCCACCATTAGATGTAGTTCTGCAGTTCTCAACATTATCGTAATCAAGGTTGCCTAGAGGGATATAAACTTTAAACTCAAGTTTACCACAAAATATTAACATTTTTTATATATGAAAGGAAAGTAAAGAAGCTGGGTTGTATGAAAGGAAACTATATAGAAGCGGGGTTGTATTAAAGGAAACTGTAAAGAAGCTGGGTTGTATTAAAGGAAACTGTAAAGAAGCTGGGTTCTANAGTTCTCAACATTATCGTAATCAAGGTTGCCTAGAGGGATATAAACTTTAAACTCAAGTTTACCACAAAATATTAACATTTTTTATATATGAAAGGAAAGTAAAGAAGCTGGGTTGTATGAAAGGAAACTATATAGAAGCGGGGTTGTATTAAAGGAAACTGTAAAGAAGCTGGGTTGTATTAAAGGAAACTGTAAAGAAGCTGGGTTGTATTAAAGGAAACTGTAAAGAAGCTGGGTTGTATTAAAGGAAACTGTAAAGAAGTTGGATTCTATGAAAGGATATAAAGAAGCTGGGTTGTCTGAAAGAAAACTGTAAAGAAGCTGGGTTGTATGAAAGGAAACTGTAAAGAAGTTGGATTCTATGAAAGGATATAAAGAAGCTGGGTTGTCTGAAAGAAAACTGTAAAGAAGCTGGGGTTGTATTAAAGGAAACTGTAAAGAAGCTGGGTTGTATGAAAGGAAACTGTAAAGAAGCTGGGTTGTATGAAAGGATATAAAGAAGCTGGGTTGTCTGAAAGAAAACTGTAAAGAAGCTGGGTTGTATTAAAGGAAACTGTAAAGAAGCTGGGTTGTATGAAAGGAAACTGTAAAGAAGCTGGGTTGTATGAAAGGAAACTGTAAAAAAGCTGGGTTTTATGAAAGGAGACTGTAAGAAGTTGGGTTGTATGAAAGGAAACTGTAAATAAGTTGGGTTGTATGAAAGGATGATGTACAGAAGTTGGGTTCTATGAAAGGGAGGACTAGGACCTGCTAGACCTCAATAAAAAAAGATAAATTACCGAAGAACTAAAATCTGGTTTTTATAGAGCAGTGTATCTCACAAAAACATTATTTATGACGCAAAAACTATTTCTTTGTCGTTGTCTTAACATACGAGTCCTTTGTCATCCACGTAGGATCTTTTTCAAGAGAAAAAAGGAAGTCTTTGTTGGAAAACTTGTTTAAGAAATTATATTATATAAATTACTAATATATAAAAATTACATTTTAATGAACTAAAATTAAAGCAAAATATAAATTTTAGAATATTTTCTCTTATATTAAAATTAATTATTTATAATTGATCAAAATTATACCTGATGCACACCGTTGATAGGAATCCATAGATCGATTGAGATCCATTGATCTATTGAGATCCATTGATCGATTAAGATCAATTGATCGATGCAGATCCACGGATCGATGCATGCTTTCTATATTAGCACTGCTGTGACGCTGCAAGCTGTTATAGCTTGCCTTACTCGTACTCGTCTTTTTTCTAAATAAATTCATTTTTATCGTTATCGTTATTTTTGTTATTTTTGTCATTGTTTTTGTAAACCCAAACCCTGATTGATTGTATAGTACGTGTATGCAATAAAAGTAAAAAGCCTGCTCTACACAATTAAAGGATTACAAACGTAACGGGGGATTACACAAGTATATGATGGATACAAAAAAATGTTCAGTATAATTGTGATTTCGTTATATTTTTGTAAAAATTTCTAAATTTTGTCTGTTAAGTGGTTATATTTTGTTCAAAACCATGTCACATCATTGGCTTCGACGCTCGAGTAAGCATTCTAGATGATATCGATGGTCTAGATTAAATTATAAAGTATATCATATGTCTAGATATTTGGTATAGATAATCTAGATTAAACTCTCTAGCTTTATAAAATCGATGGTCCAGAGTAAACTCTCTAGATATTATCATATTCAATATCGATGATCCACTGTAATATTGGAATTTATTATGGATTGTTCAAGGTAAACTATCTAGATATTTGCTATCGATGATGCATAGTAATCTTGGTATTTAATATCGAATGATTAAAGTAATCTATCTAGATATTGGATATCGATAATAAATTGACATCTAGGTATTTAATATCGATGATGCATAGTAATCCAGGTCTTTAATATTGATGATTTAATTAAACTATCTAGGTATTTAATATCGTTGGTTTAAGTAAACTATCTAGGTATTTTATATCGATGGTTTAAGCAAACTATCTAGGCATTTAATATCGTTGGTTTAAGTAAACTATCAAGGTATTTTATATCAATGGTTTAAGCAAACTATAAAGATATTTAATAATGATGGTTTAAGTAAACTATCTATGTATTTAATATCGATGGTTTAAGTAAAATATCTAGATATATTTAATGTCGATGTCTACCTATTTAACTGTAGAGTATGGGTGGAATGACCCTCTTGTTCGTGACAGGTTAGCTTCGTAGAGTCAGATCTAGATAGATAGATAGAAAGATAGATAGATAGATAGATAGACAGACAGATAGACAATTAAAGAAATATAGAAGGATAGATAGATAAATAGATAGATAGATAGATAAATAATTAAAGATAGATAGATAAAAATGTTCACATTTTTTTTTACCTCATTGGAGGTTCAGGCCTTCTTACTGGATCACATGGGGGTAAAGACATGTTCCTTAAAAATAATTTCATTATAAGAAATATTAACAATAATCAGGATTCTAACAAAGAGTTCCCTCGACCAATTTGACCTACAAAACATCCAATGAACACTAACACTAAGGGGTGTTCTGAAGGTAAAATTGGTTATCGTCGGTGGGGGATTCATCAAATATTTAGACAGCCTCCACTTTAAAGCGTTTTGCAACGGTTTGGTTTTACCTCACCTAGTCACTTATACGTTGTGTCGCCTAGATATAACGTGGTTTTACCTCACCTAGTCATTTATACGTTGTGTCCCCTAGATATAACGTGGTTTTACCTCATCTAGTCACTTATACGTTGTGTCGCCTAGATATAACGTGGTTTTACCTCACCTAGTCATTTATACTTTGTGTCCCCTAGATATAACGTGGTTTTACCTCACCTAGTCACTTATACGTTGTGTCCCCTAGATATAACGTGGTTTTACCTCATCTAGTCATTTATACATTGTGTCCCCTAGATATAACGTGGTTTTACCTCACCTAGTCACTTATACGTTTTGTCCCCTAGATATAACGTGGTTTTACCTCATCTAGTCACTTATACATTGTGTCCCCTAGATATAACGTGGTTTTACCTCACCTAGTCATTTATACTTTGTGTCCCCTAGATATAACGTGGTTTTACCTCACCTAGTCACTTATACGTTGTGTCCCCTAGATATAACGTGGTTTTACCTCACCTAGTCACTTATACGTTGTGTCGCCCTAGATATAACATGGTTTTACATCACCTAGTCATTTATATGTTGTGTCCCCTAGATATAACGTGGTTTTACCTCACCTAGTCACTTATACGTTGTGTCACCCTAGATATAACGTGGTTTTACCTCACCTAGTCATTTATACCTTGTGTCCCCTAGATATAACGTGGTTTTTACCTCACCTAGTCATTTATACTTTGTGTCCCCTAGATATAACGTGGTTTTACCTCACCTTATAGTCACTTATACATTGTGTCACCCTAGATATAACGTGGTTTTATCTCACCTAGTCACTTATACGTTGTGTCACCCTAGATATAACATGGTTTTACATCACCTAGTCATTTATACGTTGTGTCCCCTAGATATAACGCGGTTTTACCTCACCTAGTCACTTATACGTTGTGTCACCCTAGATATAACGTGGTTTTACCTCATCTAGTCATTTATACGTTGTTTCGCCTAGATATAACGTGGTTTTACCTCACCTAGTCACTTATACGTTGTGTCGCCCTAGATATAACATGGTTTTACCTCACCTAGTCACTTATATGTTGTGTCCCCCTAGATATAACGTGGTTTTACCTCACCTAGTCACTTAAACGTTGTGTCGCCTAGATATAACGTGGTTTTACCTCATCTAGTCACTTATACGTATCCCCTAGATATAACGTCGTTTTATCTCACCTAGTCACTTATACGTTGTGTCACCCTAGATATAACGTGGTTTTACCTCACCTAGTCACTTATACCTTGTGTCCCCTAGATATAACGTGGTTTTTACCTCACCTAGTCATTTAAACGTTGTTTCCCCTAGATATAACATGGTTTTACCTCACCTTATAGTCACTTATACGTTGTGTCACCCTAGATATAACGTGGTTTTATCTCACCTAGTCACTTATACGTTGTGTCAGCCTAGATATAACGTGGTTTTACCTCACCTAGTCATTTATATGTTGTGTCGCCTAGATATAACGTGGGTTTATCTCACCTAGTCATTTATACTTTGTGTCCCCTAGATATAACATGGTTTTACCTCACCTAGTCACTTATATGTTGTGTCGCCCTAGATATAACGTGGTTTTACCTCACCTAGTCACTTAAACGTTGTGTCACCCTAGATATAATGTGGATGTTTTAGCTGCAGTTTAAACAGAGAAATTTGTAAAATCCTGACAGATTTTTCCGTGAGAGAGTGCACATCTTGGTTTGCAGTGTATATGTTAAACGAGATTTTATTTTAATGATTATGATAAAATTGATGATTTCAGATCGATCCTGCATAACGGAAATGATATTAACAGTAACAATATAAAATAAAGAAATTATAATATCAATGAGAACTGATAAAAATCATATTTTAAATTTTTTGACTTTCCAATGAGGGACTCAGACCGAGTCAGCCACCGATGGATAAATGGTGATGATATTTCAAAATAAAAAATAGTTTAAATATTTTTTTCTCACCTCACACTTTCTCTGATAATTTGTCGAATAGTTTTAAGGAACGCATTTCTGAAGTCTGATGTACTAAAAATAATAATTTTGTTTAAAACTGACAAAAGTGGTCTCCATCGTTTATTTCTAATCTGGTTCAATCTTCCACCAACTATATCTACGTTTTCTCAATACCCAAACAGGAAGAAAATGAACACTGAACAGGAATAAATATGAGGTCTTCAAATAAAAATTAATTTGGTTGCATATCAGCTATTTTTTTCATACTTCTCAATAAAATTTCAATCTAACATTTAAGGAATTGAGTCTTTGCCACAAACTCAAATTTTGCAATCCCTATATCTTTGCACCATTTTGGTGTCAACCTTTGATATTTCAAACTTAGATTTTATTATCCATCAGAATTCGGAGTTAGAAATATCTAATGTGTACAACATTGGGGTGCAAAGGTGTAGAAAATCATAGGCTGTGCACAGACTTAATTCCTTTCTTTATTTTGGCATAAACAGTGCATGTTATTAATAGTTTTGGATCCTTTTTTAAAAACTTTTAATAAAACTTCAAACATTTCAAAACTGTTAAGATTTGCTTTCATTGAACTTTGGAATATTTTTATCCTAAAAATTAGTAAACGATCCAAACACTTTCGTTTTTTAGTGGTTTTTAGTTTTTTTGTTTTGTTTTGCCTGTATTTGGAATAGTGCAAAAAAGATGTTATTCTTACGATACGTCAAATTTGGACCTTGCTAGAAAATATAGGCGAAAAACGATCCAAAAAGGATCCAAAAATGATCCAAAAACGGTCCAAATTGACCCAAAAACGATCCAAAAACTCTGACTATGGATAAATCATACCTGTTAGAGAGATGATATATTTTCTCTTGTCTACGCTGAACCTGAGACTTGAGATGGATCAGCTCCCAGAGATAGTGTCCAGACATATCCTGATACGTCATCTTTAAATACATGACTGCCTTTGCACGCTTATATCAAGAGATATATAGACCAGGAACCGTCATATTTCATGCGTCAAATCTGTGTACTGCAGTGGGAGGAGATCAAAACAAAGAATTCATGGGCAACGCATCATTTTTTCAGGGAAAAGAACCAAGGAGTGGAAAAAGAATATATTGCTTTTGTATTTCCATATTGACCAGAAAGCCAAAAATCATAAATATTTGCTCAAACTTGATAACTTGCTTTTTTGTTGGACTGTAATATCACATCAGAGTTGTAGTCCTTTCTCTTCAACTTCTGTGGGGGCACTGGGTTTGTTTACATTCCTCCCACATGTACAGTACATAATATGCGTATATCAAAGTTCCTGTATATAGTTCCTTGGCTTATCCTGGTTTTTACTTCATTTTTTACAAATACACAATACTGAGGATCCAGCCCATGTACAATGTAATTTAACCATAATAATTTAAACTGTTAACTTTTTTTCAGTATGAATTTTACTATATAGTAATAATGAGAAAACAGTAAATTAAGAAGACGACATTTTAGCAATTTTTAAGTTATTACAATTCAAATTGTTATACTAAACACTTATTAAATTACTAATTTAGTGAAATGGGTCTGTTTACACTGCACAATTGATGTGTCCTGTGCTCATCAAACTTTTAAAAGTTTCTAACTTGATTCTAAAAGTCGTCTTCCTTTTTCAGAATTTTCTGGTTCTCACTGTATCTTATTTATTATTTTTAGATAAAACTGAGAATGAAACTTTTGAATTGGATATCCAGCTAAACTCAGGATTTCTAGGCTTATCCAAGGTTATGATGCAAGGAAAGTTATTTCAGAGGTGTACGCATCTTTTGTACTGTCTCTGGGCATTAATAAAAAACCAAATGAAATAATCATAATAATATCATGCATAGGAAACTAAATTATGTGAATTATCACTTAAGTTTAAATTAAAAATGGAAAAATTNTTTCTTGTAAAATTTTTAGATTATTTTTACTTCAAAAGCCACCAACTTTCTTTTTATCGGCGGATTTGATACTTTTCCAAATGAAACTGTCTGAGGCAATATTTTTTATTTCAAACCATAAACCCACATTGACATTTCTTGGGCCCTATTTGTTCGCCGTTTTAAGTATAATTGGAAACAAACAAACATTCCAGATAAATTAAACGTTGCAGAACACTGTGGTTTATTCTAAACCCTGAAGAAGACATTATTTAGATTGTTTATTATGATTAGAACTTAATAAGGCTGAAGAGGGGGTATAATATGGTTAATTAAGGTTGACTGGGCTATTTACAGAAATTAATATCAAAATATAGAAGGCTGTTTACCCTTCATACAGAGTTTAATAGAAAACACACTTCTATAATTATATTTTCTATAAATTCGCTAAAATGGAACTTCAAAGCCGTATGACGGTATGGTATGAGAAAATAGGATGTTTATTTTTATATCATAGTATCATTTGAAATCAAAATGCACCCTTTTATAATTACTGACCTTAAATTATGTATTGATGAATGAAAAAACTTACAATTAATGATTTTTTCTTCTGTCGTAGTCTCTCTTTACAGAGGAAGACGACTGCAGTTTTAAATACAAAGCACATTGCGTGCAACTCCAAACCCTGAACAAATAAAGCAATGTACATTTAACGAATTCATTTAATTTATTTATTATTTTCTTTGATAATTTTACTTGATTTATTAATTTTCATCGTTTTTTTTAAGACAAACATTACTTTGCAAAACATCTAAGCAAATTTCCAGTTTGAAGTTTGCAACTTTCTAATTGTTCTTGTTAACTGTCAAAATAAGTTTAATTCTGCTTAATTATGGGGACCACTGTGTCTTTGTATCTTTACCTTTTTGATTTTGCCAAGAAAATCCGCAATATTTATCCATTCTACCCCGCCATAGTACAGCAGATCACCGGGGGATAAATCTACCACCTCCAACAACAAAAAACAATTTAAACTTTTAAAAGTTTATTTTTAAATTTCACATGTCACTTAATTAGTGATCGCACTGTTAAAAAATCTCCCAAAATTTTGTTTTTTTCCGAGCATTCTGTTAAAAATGCCAAAAAAATTATTTCCAAACATGGGGGGGGGATAAAGTTTAGACTTTTTTCACCCTTTTTATTACTTTTAAACAATATTTTTACCCAAAAATTCATAAATTTTCCCCTATTTAGTGATTTAAACGCCGTAAAATTACATTCAATCTGCAGATAAAATGTTTATCAGAAAAGGGGGTAAAATCTGTCAATAATACCTGTTTACTAGTTTTATGATGTTGTCTGAACAAATGATCAAAGATGGCGCCATATTCCTCGTGTATTCTCTGCATCTCATTAATATGCTCGGCAACCTGCAGCCAAACAAAACAAATTCAAGTTTACAAACAAAACTTTACTTTCTAAACAAAAATATTCTTTTTCGGCCATTTTGATTTTGGTGTAATACAGTACACAAAACCATTTTACATAAAAAGTTTATTTTTAAGAGACTGTTAACACTTTTTGCGTGGTAACTCCATCAAATACACTACAGATTAATTAAATGTCGTCTTTATATCTTAAAATACTGAAAAAATATATAACACGTGAAGGTAAATAAGGTGGAGGATCTCTGATGGTTTTAAATACGTGAAATTTAGAAAAGAAATCTGTGATTAGTTTCAAGATAGATATTTGAAACTAAGAAATAATGGAGGATATGTGTATTGTGTGTAGTTTCAAGATAGATATTTGAAACTAAGAAATAATGGAGGATATGTGTATTTTGTATAGTTTAAAATAATAAAAACTAAAAAAGTATCTCAGATAGTTTAAAATATATTTATAATAAGAAAAAGAATCTTTGATAGTTTACAAACATGAATTCATAAAAATTATAAAAGAGGACTTTCATTGAGACCCATTAAACTGTAGAGTAGGAAAACATAGCAAACTATTGAGTGTTTGATGCTATCTTTAGCTTTAAAATCAACGATTTAAGTAAAATGGCCCTGTGTACACTGCACAATTGCTGTATTTCATCTTCTTTAAACTAATTAACTTCTCAAATTGAGTTTAATAGTCGTCTTTCTTTGTCACAGTTTTTTCCACTGTATGATATTTATAGTTTAAAAATTAAGAAAAAATGGAGGAACTTTTGATAATAAAACAAAATAAATCACCTTCTCCATTCCCATGAGGGCCTCTATCAAATGTTGATGTTCATCTGTACTAGTATCTGTCAGGTTCTAATAAATATATTGTTAAATTCAGATCAAAGAAACTGATTACTTGCATAGGCGTACACAGGGGGGCTATGGGGTCTACACCCCTCCCCTGGATTAGAAAAATCTATGGTTTTTAGGTCCCAACGGTAGATGAGCCCTTCCTTGAAAGATAAAAATTTAAAGCCCAGCTTGGACCAATTCCTATGTTCGCCACTGATTTCACGTCTCAAATTATAATTTTTCATCCTTCATTTCTTTACAACCTGGTCTCGTAGAATACTGTAATAACTGTTTAAAATATGTTTATTGTTATAATAGTCTAACAATTTGTTTTATTGATATAATCGTCTAACAATATGTTTGACTGTTAAAATCGTCAAACAATATGTTTTATTGTTATAATCGTCTAACAATCTGTTTTATTGTGATAATCTTCTAACAATCTGTTTAATTGTTATAGTCGTCTAACAATCTGTTTAATTGTTATAGTCTTCTAACAATCTGTTATATTGTTATAGTCGTCTAACAATCTGTTTTATTGTTATAATCGTCTAAAAATCTGTTATATATTTCTCACTAACCTTGAGTTGGTTGAGTAGTAGAGGGTACTTGAGAATCCTTTGGATTGGTTTTATCAGATAGGATTCTAGGAACACATACAGAATATACAAACAGATACAAACACACACCCACACACAGGCATACCAGAAACTCTTGGTTTAAAATGTAAAAAATTGAATTATTATGTAAAAGTAAAAACTGTTTAAAACTCTAAAAAAATTGGGTTTCAATTCTTTTAAAATCAGTCTGCGAAGATTCCTTGTTAAATGAATGGTGTTACTATTATAATTGTTATTGTTATTGTTATTGTATGGTCTATATTGCCTAGAGCTGTTGAATGTTGTTGTTTAGGATTACAGGAGAGAAGGAACTCCTGCAGTGCTTGATTACCCTCACCTAGAATACAACCAATAGGAATACAGCATAATGTAGGCTTTCTTTTCATCCAATAGGAATACAGCATACTGTAGGCTTTCTTTTCATTCAATAGGAATACAGCATACTGTAGAATTCTTTTCATCCAATAGGAATACAGCATACTGTAGGATTCTTTTCATCCAATAGGAATACAGCATACTGTAGGATTCTTTTCATCCAATAGGAATACAGCATATTGTAGGCTTTATTTCATCCAATAGAAATACAGCATATTGTAGATTTTCTTTTCATCCAATAGAAATAGAGTATATTGTAGGCTTTCTTTTCGCCCAATAGGAATACAGCATATTGTAGATTTTCTTTTCATCCAATAGGAAAACAGCATATTGTAGGCTTTCTTTTCATCCAATAGGAATACAGCATACTGTAGGCTTTCTTTTCATCCAATAGGAATACAGCATACTGTAGGCTTTCTTTTCATCCAATAGGAATACAGCATATTTTAGGCTTTCTTTCATCCAATAGGAATACAGCATATTGTAGATTTTCTGTTCATCCAATAGAAATACGGTATATTGTAGGCTTTCTTTTCATCCCATAGGAATACATCATATTGTAGGCTTTCTTTTCGTTTAATATGAAACAGCAAAATGCAGGTATTTTTTTTATCTTATAGGAATACAGCATATTGTCGGCTTTCTTTCACACAATAGGAATACTGCAAATTGTAGGCTTTCTTTCGTCCAATAGGAATATAGCATAGTGTATGCTTTCTTTTCGCATAGTAGGAATAAAGCCTATTGTGTATTTGTTAGAAAATAGGAATCTTGAATGCTGCTAGTTAATTCTCAACCATTTGAAATCATGCTTTTATTTTATAGAAAAAAAACCTTGTTTTTGTTTTAATCTAAGCATTAAATAATAATCTTTAAAATTAATTTGGAATCATGATTTATAAATAAAATAAACACTAAATGAGCTTACTTGGGTGCAGAACTTTTTGAGCTTTTGAGTGGCTAGCACAGAATGAGCTGTAAAGCTTAAAATGGTTTACATAGTACAGGAACGCTGAGCCAATGGAGAACAATATATTCTAAAACAAATTTAGTTTAAAAAATTTCGATTTAGTCTATGAATGTTTAAAGCTAGACATTTATACTTTTTTTTAAATTTACAAATTACAAAAGTAAATCCATTCTTTGATAAAGCAGCAGAATGAAAAAGTCCTACAAAGCATAAGAGACATTTTTAAAAGCAATTAATCCTGTATTTAAGTTTAGTGAACCAACATTTTCAAATTTATGTTTCTAAAATTTTCAAAGAAATCAATATGTATCATCTTCAAAGCATACAGTGGACTAAACTTTATTCAAAAATGAAAATAAAGGAAAGTAATTTGAAAATTTATTTAGGAGTATCTAGGAGTACCGTGAATTGACCTGGAGTATCTAGGAGTATCTAGGAGTATCTAGGAGTATCTAGGAGTATCTAGGAGTATCAAAGCGTACCTTGAATTGAATAGGAGGATCTAAGAGTATCTAGGAGTATCTTGAATTGACTATGAGTATCTAGGAGTATCTAGGAGTAGCTAGGAGTAGCTAGGAGTACCTTGAATTGATCAGGAGTATTTAGGAGTATCTGGTAGTGTACCTTGAATTGACTAGGAGTATTTAGGAGTATCTGGTAGTGTACCTTGAATTGACTAGGAGTATTTAGGAGTACCTTGAATTGACTAGAAGTATCTAGGAGTATCAAGGAGTATCTAGGAGTACCTTGAATTGACTAGGAATATTTAGGAGTACCTTGAATTGACTATGAGTATCTAGGAGTGGCTAGGAGTAGCTAGGAGTATCTTGAATTGACTATGAGTATCTAGAAGTAGCTAAGAGTAGCTAGGAGTACCTTGAATTGATCAGGAGTATTTAGGAGTATCTGGTAGTGCACCTTGAATTGACTAGGAGTATCTAGGAGTACCTTGAATTGACTAGGAGTAGCTAGGAGTATCTAGGAGTATCTAGGAGTACATTGAATTGACTAGGAGGATCTATGAGGATCTAAAAGTATCTAGGAGTATCTTGAATTGACTCATGAGTATCTAGGAGTAGCTAGGAGTACCTTGAATTGATCAGAAGTATCTAGGAGTACCTTAAATTGACTAGGAGGATCTAGGAGTAGCTTAAATTGTCTAGGAGTATCTAGGAGTATCTAGAGGTAGCTTAAATTGTCTAGGATTATCTAGGAGTATCTAGGAGTAGCTTAAATTGTCTAGGATTATCTAGGAGTATCTAGGAGTACCTTGAATTGACTGGGAGTATCTAGGAGTACCTTGAATTGTCTAGGAGTATCTAGGAGTATCTAGGAGTAGCTTAAATTGTCTAGGATAATCTAGGAGTACCTTGAATTGACTAGGAGTATCTAGGAGTATCTAGGAGTATCTAGGAGTACCTTGAATTGACTGGGAGTATCCAGGTTCATGAACTGTGCCTCCGTATCCAAAGCATTCTCCATAGTGTGAAGAAACTGCTGTTGGAAACTATAGATCTCCTGGAACAACAAATATTTATCAAACAAAAAAATAAAACTTTGTTTACACTTGAAGTGTACTGCAGTTTGAGTAAAAAATGTAAACAGATAACATCGACGGATAGATTAATAAATAGATAGTTAGATAGATAGACAAATAGATTAATAAATAGATAGTTAGATAGATAGACAAATAGATTAATAAATAGATAGTTAGATAGATAGACAAATAGATTAACGAACTATGAAGTCAATAGACGAATAAAAATTAGATGAATGATAAAATAAATATAATTCTATTTATCAAAAACTATCTTGAAATGAAATTAAAATATCCATATTTCCGTTTTTTGAGAAATGTGTGAAAAATGTTATATGGGTGAATATTTTATATTTACCCATCATATTTATCATATATCTTTATCATACATATTAAAGATTACATAGTTATACATTATCTATATAAATAAAGAATAATTAAGAAAGTTTCGATATAAATCGTTCCATCATTTAGTTAAAAATATATTCTTTATACTATACATAAACCTCTCCATCTTAAATATATTTATGTAAAAGATCGTTTTATAAATATCATTCAGGAGAAAGTTTATAAAAAAAGAGGAAAGGGAAGGAAAGAAATGTAGAGGGAAGGAGAGAGAAAGAAATGTAGAGGGAAGGAGAGAGAAAGAAATGTAGAGGAGGGGGAGGGAAAGAAATGTAGAGGGAAGGAGAGAGAAAGAAATGTAGAGGGAAGGAGAGAGAAAGAAATGTAGAGGAGGGGGAGGGAAAGAAATGTAGAGGAGGGAGAGGGAAAGAAATGTAGAGGGAAGGAGAGAGAAAGAAATGTAGAGGGAAGGTGAGGGAAAGAAATGTAGAGGGAAGGAGATTGAAAGAAATGTAGAGGGAAGGAGAGAGAAAGAAATGTAGAGCAAAGGAGAGGGAAAGAAATGTAGAGGGAAGGAGAGAGAAAGAAATGTAGAGGGAAGGTGAGGGAAAGAAATGTAGAGGGAAGGAGATTGAAAGAAATGTAGAGGGAAGGAGAGAGAAAGAAATGTAGAGCAAAGGAGAGAGAAAGAAATGTAGAGGGAAGGAGAGAGAAAGAGAGGAAAGGGGAAAGAATGAAAAGGAAGGAAAATATCAAGGTAGATAGAAAGATCAAGGAATAAAAGATTAACTGAGATTTTACAACAAAAATCATGGATTTTCTAAATTTTTCAACGGATTTTCAAGAAATAAATTGATAATTTCGAAAACTTTTCTTAATAAAAAATAACTTAGGAAACTGCAGTAACATATTAGAGTCTTTACTTTATCCCAGGCCAGTTGGTCACTACAGTTTTACTTTAGTAGAAGTGTATATTTTCATTTAGTGTATAACGCCGATATAAGGATTTATCTCTAATTGGATAAAGAGATAGATAGAAAGATATATGTTACCACCATAAAATTTCTGTTGGTTCAGAATAGACACCAAACACATTGCTGAACCCTGATTGGATCAGGCGCTAATGAACTCGGAATACAAGAGTGATGGTAGATACTGGTTTAGTTGTTTAATTGTTGCAGAAAGAAGATATTTTGCTCTATGTCTACTTTTCCCAACCGTTCACTTCTCTTCTTTAACTTTTTTTTTTCTTCTCTAAACAGAATAATTGTTTTTTTTTCCAGTGTACATAGTCTGGACCATATGCAGGTGCTGTTACTTCTATACTCCAATCTATGTTGAATGGTTTGTCCTCAGATTTCAGTTTCCATATGTATTTTGAAATCCTAGTGCTGGTTTCATATTTCAGAGATTGAAAGATTTAGTGTGATTTAATTGAACCTCTCCTTGAAGGTATTAGAAGTTAGTCCAATGTATAGGCTGAAGTTCCATCATTTGTTGATATTTTTGCTTGGAATATAATTGAACCTCTCCTTGAAGGTATTAGAGGTTAGTCCAATGTATAGGCTGAAGTTCCATCATTTGTTGATTTTTTTGCTTTGAATATAATTGACTGAATTAAACATTTGCCCTTTAAGGGACATCTTGGTACACCAACTCGGCAATTACACTCTTTCTTCTTTGATAAATAGATAGATAGATAGATATATATATATATAGATAGATAGATAGATAGATAGATAGATAGATAGTTAGATAGTTAGATAGATAGAGATAGTAATATCTAGATAGATAGATAGATAGTTCGATAGATAGATAGATAGATAGATAGATAGATAGTTATATAGATAGTTATACAGTTTGATAGATAGATAGATAGTTATATAGATAGATAGATAGATAGTTATGTAGATAGATAGATAGATAGATAGATAGATATGTAGATAGATAGATAGATAGGTAGAGATAGTAATATCTAGATAGATAGATAGTTAGTTAGATAGATAGATAGATAGATAGATAGAAAGATAAATAGATAGTTAGATCAATAGTTATATAGATAGATAGATAATTAGATAGATAGATAGATAGATAGATATATAGATAGAAAGATAGATAGAGATAGTAATAAGATCTAGATAGTTAGATATCTAAAATGATAAATATATGTAAAGATAAAAATAAGATATCATTAATATTTTATATTGCATATTGTATAATGTACATTTTACACAAACTGTAAATTTTTTTCTTTCTAAAATAACAGTTTCTGTTCAATGTACATTGCATGTTGATTGAACAGAAACTTTGTATATTGTACTGCAGGAACCGTAAATTATAAATAAGAAAAACCGGTTTTTACCTGTATATTCCCGAAGAGGGAGGATATTTCGGTATTAGAAAGGAAAGTTTCCTAAAACCATAAATAAATCTATTTTCGAAAAACCTTATTCTTAAGATAAGCAAACCCCAACATGCTTTCTATTACAGTGAGAGCCATAAAAGTGTGGACTAGGAAGACGATATTTAAGCAATCATGTGAGTATTTGAAGCAACAAGTTTTAGCAGGAGCTTAAATCCAAATTCAAGTAAGGTGAAATGGTTCTGTGTCAACTGCACAATTGCTGTACATATAGTTTATGTATTTTGAACTCACTGACTCCGGTTCAGTTCAAGTACCGACTAAAGCAAGCTGTACAGTACAATTACTGTACATATAGTTTATGTATTTTGAACTCACTGACTCCGGTTAAGTTCAAGTACCGACTAAAGCAAGCTGTACAGTACAATTACAGACTTTGAAAAGAAAAAACGGAACGGTACGCCAAATGAATGAGCTCTATTGAATTTATGTGGAATATTCAAAATTATAACTTGGGTCTAACAGTCGTATTCTATTCCGCAGTTAGATGGGTCTCACTGTAGAAGAACACATTACATTTAATTTGTAAATTCTAATTTCACTGAAACTACAGGGTGTTTCTCTACAACCGATATTTTTGATTTGCCTATATTTCAAGTAAAACGACCTGATAAGCTTGCAATAAATATATTATTAGTTAAATTTGTTAAACTTTCTGATTGATTTCTATAGGCTGCAGGGAAACAGCAAAACTCTTCCACAATCATGTTTAGCTGTTCAACAGTAGCTCCAGTAGCAGGTCGAGTATAAAGCGAACCTCTGGCATAGCCTGAAGCCTGAGGCTCATTTCGAAGTTTTCCATATTCTAGGATAATCCAAGTTTTCTCCTCTTCAGTAAAAAAAGGTATTTAACCAATCAATTCTAACTGGACCCTTTAAGCTGGTCATTTTCCCGGATTTTTAATCCAGTTTTGCGGATTTTTCAATGAAATTTTAGCAAATCAAAAATATCAGTTGTAAAGAAACACCCTGTACAAACACATATTATAAGTTGTACCAAACGATCTGATCATAATTTCTAGCAACCTGTTCGGTAGTTTGATAATTTGACCAAAATGTTCTTCTAACAATATGAAAGTTTTAAATAAAAGTTTGAGTCGAGATGAAGAAAATGAAAAGAAAGAAACTTATGAGATTAAAGTTTTGAATAGATTAATTTCCTGTCGTAGGGGCTCCAGGTATGTTTTCATTAGGTATCCAAGATGCTGAAATTAAATAATATTCAAAGAAAATAAATAATTAAATAATGTTATGGCTTTTATCATTGAGTTTCCAAAGTGTGGTCTGCCATTTTTGACCTTTTGAAATTGATCATCTCTCTCAAACTATAATTTTCTAGTCACTAAATCTTTACAACACTCAGAACAAGTGTACATAACCGAGCTGGGCCAACCTTTGCGGTCCTAGATTGGACTGTACCATAAATTTACTTTTACTAAAGCGGCAGACCTGTGCAAACAACCTTCTGTAGGTATAAAATGCCCCAGTTTTATAAAATAAAAGTATATAGTGTCAAGTTCTAAGGTAGTGAGATTCATGAAAAAAATAAAAAGTGAGATTTGAAAATCCAAAATGAGAATAAAAAATTTCAACTTTTATTTTCAAACTCTGGTATTGGCGGTAGTGAGATTTCAAAATCCAAAAT